ATTCCAGTGGAAATAACTGTACAACAGCCTACAGGGATACAACTCTAACAAAGTATCAATTTAAAATAACTTCTTTCCCATCCCAAACGAAAACTGCTGTTCTAACAAAAATCCTCTATGCTGTTCTAGTTACACCACCGTATCTTGAGCAAAATACCTAGGAAAGTACAAGACCTCTGCGTAGATGAGACTTTAAGTCACCAGCATTTCAAGACACACTTGCCAATTTTGTGTTTACGCTTTAAATTCAAATTTTCTCTTCAGTAAACTTCAAAGGTAATCTTCTAGGAACCGCAAATCATCTTTAATAAGATTTGTATGCATTCAATTTTTTGAGACACTACTATACACAGAAGAAAGGCCAGTGGAATAATACTGATCTGCAGCTACTAGGGGGAAACGTGAAGTTTTTATGGACAGAACAGACCCTTCCCCACTCTGAAAGCACAGCTGGGCGAGTTTGTCATCAAAACCTAAACCAGAATTTTTTAAATGTATTAAAAAACCCCCACAAAACATTAGTAGAATCATTTTGTTAACCATAAAGCAATTTGTGAACTCTGATTTTCATTTTCGCAGATTTTGCGGCTCTCTCTTCAGTAAAGTAGCTTAATTTATTCATCTGCATTGATACAGCATAAGAGAGTTCCATATCCACTTTTTATAAGACACTGCACCCAAAAGCAAGCTTTAATTCTTTTATCTGCCACTCAGAAAGCAGCTTAGCTGTTTGAGATGCAACATGCTGCTGAGATGCAACTGAACCTGGAGACTAATGGATCTCTCACCAATAGTGACCATTTATTTTCTCTACTTGTCTTGTATCCCTCAAAATTATTTTTATAGTTACATTTGTGACTGAAAATAAGATATGTTTCTTTCTTGGCCAGGAGATGAAGTGCAGAGTTCACACCAATTCAGGTATGGGCAGTCAGTTTAACCACCAGTATGTGTAAAACTCTCACCAAGCAACACACTGACTAGTAGAAAGTAGTTTTAGCACGATTTTCCTAAAACACTTCATAGTAATTTTATCAGCAGAAACAGCAAGACCTAAGATGTTTAGTATGTTTAGTATGTAAGAAACGTTTTGCTACTGGTTGCATGCTACTTTTTAAGCTACTTAGAGCAGAAACATGAACCTGAAGCCACAGTTGCCTTCGCTAAGAAAAGCGGAATGACCTATGCCAACCCATATTCAAAATTACAGTCTCTGTTCTAAAATAAGTTTGGTCATATAGTTCAAAATATGACTAAGATGCGCTGAGCTCTGACTTACACAAGAACTCAGATCTGCAGGATCACTTCAACAGGCAATTACAAACTTCAGTAGGATAAAAATACTAGGGGAAAAAAAAGCCCGAGCAATTAGCTTGTGTGCCTGTTTGTCCCTTTGGTATCTGACAGCACAGTCTGCAGGTGAAGCCTAGCTGATTTTGAGGCTTGAGAAGGGATATATAAAAATCAGAGATACTCATGCACAACCACTTCCACACACACACACCTCCAAGCTGCCCATGCCTTCACCTATTTCAGTTACTAATGACTGCAAGAAAAAGGTTAAAAGCCAACCTAAATTGGTTCAGCATTTATTCTTCACAGGGCCACAAGCTTTAATTTCAACTACTCTTTGCATAACTTAAATAATAAACACGGTGCACTCTTTCTTTGATTTTTAAACCACCCATATCTGAAGCACAGTGGGACATGTCAGACACTTGCTTTGCTGCCCTCATAATATGGTTTAATTATGATGACTGAACTAACGGGCTCACATCATAGACTTTTACAGGTTGACCCTGTGTCATCCTGATGTATCATTTTGCACCAGTTCAGTGCTGTAAATCAATTTAAGATCTCCAGCAGGTTGAAAAGGCTGGTAATGATGCTTTCTCTGCAGTCTCTGGGGACTCCACATTATACACAACTTACATTATTTATAAAGCTGAGATGATGCCTCCATTAGGCTTGTAAGACTACTCGAATGAGCTTTTATTTTACACACACAACTTGGGCTTCACAGAGCAGAACGCTGGCTGTATGTAATATGCAGTGCATTTATGCTTCAATTTAAAAACACAAAAGTCACAACCCCTTCATTTTTAGAACTTAAATCTTTATACCAAACAAAGAAACTCATAATTTAATCTGAATAATTTCCCAGCATTCAGAAACACAAGTAGCACTTCTATTAACCTTTGTATTGCTTTTCTTTATGTTCAGCTCTTTACTTTGTGTTCAAACTACAGAGGAAAAGTAAACACTAAACTCATCAGCTTTCAAACATTTGATTTGATAGTTAATATTTATACAGAAACAGAACAATCTTCATGTATTCAGTTACTTTTCTCAAATGTATTGGATCATCACATCTTCAAGGGTACACAAAAAGGCAACTTAAACAGGACAGAGAAGGAAAAAATATATTTGATTACATACCCAATGGTTGATGGGGTCAAAACTGAAACAAGGACAAATCCCTACCCTTAGGGTAACCTGATCACGCCTTGAACTGATCTTCTCTGTTAGCTGTGGAAGGCTTCTGGATTACCCAAGTCAAGGGAAATTTCTCTCAAGTGCCTACTTACAGTCTGAAGTAAATTGAAAGATTTCATCCCTAAAACCAGAGCAAGAACTTCAAAAAGGGCTTAGATGCTTTCCATTTTCATACCTATGCTCTTCCAGTCACTGTAAAGAAGCAAGCACGCAAAACTTACACTGAAATCCAGTGAGAACATCTAAAAAGCTTCATAGCACTCCTCTCTGGTTCAATGGGAAAATAAAATGAGTATTAATTAACTGCAACTAACAAACTCATCTCCCATAATTCAGCAGAGTAATTACTGACAAGCAAAATAAAAAAAATTAAGTTAACGTTAACACCTCGGGTTCCCTCACATGATTTGCTCCTATTGTTTGACAGGATGAGGTGCAGCCAGTGAGCCACATGAAGACTCCCAGAATTAGAGAGACAGGTCTGCCAAGAAAAGTGGTCTCTGTGGGCTGGGTTAGCTTCAGATTTTAGTCTTATTCTTGAGTGCTGCTTAAAATCACACATAACTATCGGGGGGGAAAAAATAAAGTTTTCTCTTTTTGACTTTTCCCTCTGAGTGCAAAAGAGATTTGAACTATCTGCTATGACACATTTGAAATAAAGCTTTTTTCCTAAGCATGTTAGTTTCAAGATGCCGTATCTTTAACACTGACATTCATTAAACGCTGACATGTTTCACGCAATGATCTTTTCCATTTGCCTGTATCTGAAACACTTTTACTCCTCCCCACCTGGATCTAATAACTTCTCCTTCCTACAGTAAAACTGTTGCTTTTTTTTTTTTTTTTTTTTTTTACATACAGCAAGCATATTTTTTTCCTAAAACACACCAAAATAATGATTTTTTTTTTTTTTGCAATATACTCCAAAAATAAACTCCAACCATTCAGGTACCGTGAAAGTAAACTGTAAGGTCAGACTACGTATCTTCTTCAGATTGATCTACTAACAAAAGAGCAAACACAGCAACCTTTCCTCGGTCAGAACTCCCACTGACTTCAGTTTATATTAAAAAAAAAAAAAAAAAAAAAAAAAAAAGCCAGGATTTGGCCCAGATCCTTTTGAATGCATGACTGAATATTTCCACACCAGTAAATTTTAATAAGCTTTCAAGATCTATATTCAGGATAAGATTATTTGGCTGTGGAGCCCGAGTATATGAAGAAACTACATCGGGGAGGGGAAAAATCTCATGCAACCAAACCTTCTAACAGGGAGGAGAAAAAAAAAAAATGTAAGTGAACTTTCCTTGACCTCTAAGCACAGATTTGTCATTAAAAAAAAAAAAAAAAAAAAAATGAAAAAGAAACGAGGAGGGGAAGGAGGGCTGCGGAAAGGAGGGGGGGGGGGGGGGTGAGGGGGGTGAGAAATGAAATTAAACGGACAGGGCTGCGGATGGGCCGAGGGAGGAGACGAAGGGCTTTTCCCCACAAAAACAAAGGAGGGCACTTGCCCCGGCCGGCCGGGGCTCCGCCGCGTCCCCCCGCGGGGCGCACAATGGGGCCGGGGCCGGGGCCGGGCGGCGTTGGCGGCGCAGCCCCGCGGCCCCGGCAGAAGCTCCGCCGAGGCGGCGGGCGGCTTCCCGGCGGGGGGGGAAGAAGGGCTCTCCCTCCCGCCGGGCCCGACGCGGCACCTACCCCACAAACTTCGAGCCGGGAGACGGCCGGCGGGGAAGCGGCCCCGGGTCTCCCCGGAGCTGCCGCAGGGACGCCATCATGCCGGGGTGGAGAAGAGAGGAGAGGCGAGCCGCGCTCCCCCCCCCCCCCACCGCCCCCCCCCGCGGCGCGGAGCCCCCGGGACCCTTACCCCGGAGCCGGAGGACCAGCGGGAGGAGCGGGGTGAGGAGGGGGGAAGAGGCGGGAGGTTCGGCGGGGAGAGAAGGGAGGGGGGAACGCAGAGTTGTTACCGGCTGCCGGGCGGGGAGGGGCGCTGAGGGAGAGGTGGGGGGGGGGTGTGGTGTGCGGGCGGCGCGGGGCTCCGCGCGGGCAGCCCCCGCGCTCGCGCAGCCTGCGCGCCCGGATGCGAGCTCGCGGTGCGGCTGGCGTCAGCGCAGGCGGGGCCGGCACGCGAGCGCGCGCGCGCCCGCGCACCCCCCCCCCCCCCCCCCCCCCCCCCCCCCCAAAAACCCTCCCCCCCCCCTCACTCCCGCACCGGCCCGCCAAGGGATCCTCTCCAAACTCCCGCCGCCGCGGCCCTCGCTAGGAGCGCTGCGCCCTGCTGTCCGTCTGTCCCGGTGTCCGTCTGTCCCGGTGTCAGGAGCCGCCCAGCCCCCGCCGCCTATTAGGTCGGCGGCCCTGCGGGGCCGGCGGAGGTTTAGCGGGCGCTTGCGGGGGGCTGCGAGGGGAGCTCTGACCGCCGCGAGGCCGGCAAATGAAAGTTACTGCCCGTAGCAGCCTGATTGGACCGGGTTTCGTCCTGCTCACAGGTGGCTCAGCCCCTGACTTACTCCGTTCTTAAATCCTGAGGCAATTTCTGGAATACCTCCCAGCAGCGGCCCGCTCTGGGTCCCCGGGCGGGAGCCCACCCCGGCCCTCGGTGCTGCTGCAGTTCCTCCTGATTTCTGCAGGTCAGCCTCTTAAAGGGCGGGAGGCCATGGGAGGGACAGTGTCCTCACCCCCGTGGCCTTCTGAAATGAACTCTGAACCTGCAAGCGTCCGCTCGACAGTGGACCCAGCTGGAGCCCACTGGAGGAACGGGCAGCCCCTCTCGCCTGCTGTCTTGGCAGGAATCCTTACAGCGCCGAGGTGAGCGCAGCGCAAGGAGGATCGAACTGAAGCTGGTTCTTTAACCACGTACTTTGGCTTTTACCCAGTCGCCGTTCCTGGAAAGAGAGATGAAGCAACAAGTGCAAGATGTTTCTACAGAGCAAAATACTGCGATCCACCTATACGGGTGTAGTGACATCTCTGTGCTTACACCAGTAAGTTAAGTGGTCACGTGTCTGTGAAGTTCTAGGAATGGTGTTAACCTCATTCTACAACCCTGCAAAGTGAAACCCAAAGTTAAAACCCAGAGAAGCTAAGGCCCTGAGAGTTTTACCAGATGAACAGTGGTCCCAGACTTACCCACCTGCCCACCCAGCTGCATTTCGAGTCTGAAGGGACAGGGCCAGAATGGCTCGCCCAGGGTCACAGAAGGAGCATGACAACAGCAGTGAGAAATTCCCAGTTTTATGGCTGTGAGGTTATCGGCACTTCTTTCTAACTTCTTAATCTAAATTTCATCCATTTCCTTGTCACATAAATACTACATAAATTGCAAACAAGTAAGTTAAATAGCACGCTACAACAGAAGCATAGTGAGGAACTCCTGCACAGAATGATGCCTTAATATCGACATGGGAAGCCTGGGAGAAAATTAGTATTTTACTGCTTAGATTTTGAACCTTAAGTGATTCAAGATGAGTGAACTTTGGTAATCAGCTTTAACTTGTATTTTGTGGTTGTACTGTACGCAATTACGGTTAGCAAGCAAACTGTTCTTTTTACGTGCAAGCATGCATGGATACAGTGCAGCACTGGGTCGCAGATACAACTGGTAAAGGTTTATCTCAAGACAAACTAAAATGTCTTTACATTTTGTCAGTGTACTGAAGAGACTTGCAAGCGAGTTACAGAAGAAACATGAGACTGCTACTGGGTTTTGTACTGTGGTAGTGCTTAAAATCAGGGCCAAGTGTCCTGGATCAAGAGTGGTGGATGCAGCAGTAGTATCTGCCCCGAGAGCTCAGCAGTCTCGGTGGTCCAGTCTCACACAGGGAAATATGTGGAAAAGGCCTTACGCGTGCCTGAGGTCTGCTCTGCTCTGCTCTGCAGGCTGACTTGGCAGGGCCGGGGCGGGCAGCAAGCTCCATCCGCTGGATCCTTGTTGCTCGAGTATCTATTCAGGGCGTGATTCACACTAAACAGATATGACAAGAAGATAATTAGGGAAGCACTGCAGTTTGTCAGATGTCTTGTTAGAACCATGTTTTTACTGCTTTTGTTGTTAGGGTCTACTGGTTGGTTCGCTTCAGCACGAGAGAATTAAATTATTTTCTACTTACACTGAGGCTTGGGGAGGCACACAATATGCTCCTTTACCTAGAAAAGGCTATAAAACAGCCTAGTATGGCCTTTTGCTGATGTTTAATAACCAGAACAGTTGCTCTGGAGAGAGCTGTTTAGAACTGCCCTCAGACAGATCAGTTGTGTCAGACCAGAGGGCAAGCAGAAACAGTGTGCCATGGTCAGATCTGCCAGGAGGCTTCCCTGGCTGGGCTGTTTTGGTACACAGCCAAGTCAAAACTTTAAGTCTGCTGCCTGCTTTAGGACATTCAGCTCATAGCTAACTGCCCAATTCTATTACACTGTGTATGAGTAGTATCAGCAGCAGCTTACTTGTACATTCACCACTTCTAACTCCATTGGCTTCTTTTAATATACCCTAGTTAAACATCATTAGCATCTGCCTAGCTTTTCTGAATAACATGAGGAAACCGAAAAAAGGAGAGCAGAGGGGTACGTACACCTGGGTATCTAGCTGGATGCTACACACCTGGAAGTGTTCCTCCTCTGCATTGGGCTGAATAACTGTGCTATCTCAAGAGGTGACAGAACTTTTTTTTCTCTTTTTACTTTGAAACTGCATGATCATTCAGACTGGTGCAAGGAAAACAGGCCGTGAGGCTGGAGCAATGGAGAAAAAGAAGAACCATCCCTTCTGTAAACAGTCTGAGTTTTCATCAGATTAGGTGTATAATCCAATGCCACCAGCAGTCATAAAGCCTGTGAACCTGAATTTTAATGGAGTTGGGGCACACAGATAAACTTCTAATAAGATTCTCAAAGGAAACTTTAATCTGAGACATTTTTTAACATTTCACCAAGCACCTGCCTAATCACCTTCAAAATTTGTGTCTCAGAAGCCGCTTAATCAGAAAGCAGAATGCTCAAAGATACTCATTATGCTGCATAATTTATACTATGATGTTATGTAACCAATATTTAAGAAACACTACTACTAATACTGCTACTATTAGCTTTCAGTCTTCCTCTAAAATTCATAGTTTATATGCAGGTTACGATTTAGTATTTCTTGTTAATCTCAGCCAGGCATCATCTAGTCAATTCAAGAGTTTCCAGGGATAGAAAGTGCCTTCTGGAGACAGTTTAGCTCCAAACTCTGTAACTTTGCTTCACCTTTATGTACACCAGGTTCATGCCAGAAAGTAGAGTTTCATGGGTAATTAAATTGTATCAAACACATAACTTATTATTTACATTAAAATCACAGGAGTCATTTTCTTTTTCCCCATTACAGAGTTGCCCTAGCATGGGAAAATACCAACAGTATTTTCGTAGAGTAGAGGCAGTTCTGTCAAGAAGAATAGCTTTCTAAGGATATTTGATTTCATTATTTCCTTCTTTCCTGGTCTGGCTGGTAAAATTTAGCAAACTCTGTGCTTCATGGCTTGTCTGCTTCTTCTTTGAACAGGGGAAAAGCCTCCCACCTCAGCATTATTAAAGTAGGATACGCAGACTGTTTAGCAACTACACAGATCTGTTTGAGAAAGATGCCTCAGGCAGAAGACAGCATGTGGGAGAAAGTAAGGAGTATCTTTAGGAGGTCACCGTAACTGCACAGAGCTGTGTATGGTTTTCCAAACCCATCTGGATACAAGGACCTGTCTAGCCACAGTGGCACAGAATTCACAGCTGATTTCCGCTGTCGAGAAAGGCACTTGGGGTTGAGCTAGTTTGAATACTTCAGTCCTGCACCGCAGTGGAAGGGGCTGGCTGAGCTGTGGCCTCCAGAGGCAAACTGAACGAGGCCGAGCTGCTCACCCGACACCCCGTCCCCATTAAAGAGGGCCCAGGGGCTCTGCTGGCAGCTGGGGTGAAGGGCCTGCGGGGCTGCTCTCCTTCCCCTCCACCTCCCTCCCTTCGAGCTCCCCTGCTCCCCAGCAGCAGCCTCAGCAGCACCACACACCTGCCCAAGGCTGACCGAGTGGGGCTAGAACACTTTAATGGGGACACAGAATTTTTGGGGGTGTGGGGGGGTGGTACCTTGAGCTGTTTACAGAGGCTGGTGCTTGGGGGAACTGTTCTGGTTCCATACTTCCAAAAGTGGTTTTGGCATCCCCCAGTGGAAGCCAAAGTAAGCTGTTTTATGCCAGAAGCTGATCTGTCCTCGTCCTTGAGTGCCAAGATTCAGTTTTCCCTCACTGAAGAGAAGCTTTGAGCTGGCACTGTATAGGTCACACAAACAAAGAGGAACTAAGTTCTGAAAGGCTTTGAAGACAGACAATGTGACATGAGGGTTCTCTATATTCCCGCTTTGGTGCATCCAGCCATTTTCTAGAATGAACCCTTCATGAGTTTGTCTCTCTAGAGTCAAAGGTCTACTTGGGACCTGCCTCAGTTTCCTGACTCACTCTCATATGCAACAGAACAAAGAACCCATTTCACCCTTAGAAGTTCTTCCTAAACTGGCCCACCATGATTAAGATTATATAGACTAAATGGAGCTGATCATTTTACAAGGTTATTACATGTATTTCCCTCTGTTACATTAACTAAGGCTTCTATCATAAATCTATCTGCAGATATCAGAAAGGTCTTTCATCACACTGAGCAGTCATTCATCTTTTCCACCCTTGAGATGATGGGACTGAGACAAAAATCCATTATTTTCCTGAGATTAATGTACCCAGCGAAAGCTGACAAAATCCTTATTAAAAATTATGAATCCAAAAGCTTTGGGCCAAAACAAAGTACTAAGCAGGGCACTCCCTTATCTCCTTTTACTGGTTGTTTCCTCTATAGACTCTGATGTAAGGACTTTGCTCCAGCAATATTACATTGGTAGTAAAGAACTCTGTTTGCACTCTGTTCTGGTGGCTAATCACATGCTGCTACGAAGCACAGTATTCCTGCCCGCTGTACCACACCAGTATTGTACTTTCTAGAGAATGATACTCTCCCTTTGGATCTTGCCTGCATCCATGTAGAAGCTTTTGAAGGTGGTTTCACTTTCTCCTGGCTATCACCTCAGTAAGGGATAATGGACTCCATGTAACCAAAGATTATTTGTTATTTTAAAATTAAAGTTCTCTTCAGTCACTCGGCCTAAAAGATTTACATAACTGGAACAACCTAGCTCTATTACTGGTTTCTTGGAAGACACTGCTAAGATTAATCTTATCTCCCATTTTAATTACTGTTTTCAAGTTCTTACAGTCCTTGTCCCAGTTGCATCTTGTTGCGAAAACCACCAGGGAATGAACTATTAAAATTTATTCAGACAGGTGGCAGATACAAAATTAACACTAATAACTCGAGGAAAAAAGAAATCAAAGGTGGTTTGGCGATCCTGAGCTCCTGCTACGTGGTCACTCGGCTACAACCGGCACGCTAATGACTGGTGCCGTGCAAGCAGCCGTGTGTCACGGCTTGCCAGGCAGGGCTGGGGAGTTGTCACGGCCGGGCAGCTGCACTGGCATCCACGGGCTAACGAGGCTTTGGCGTAGGACTGAACTGCGGCGATGGATGAAGGCTGGGCAAACCATGGCAACTGTCTGGATACAGGGCTCTGTCTTCTTTATACCCAAAGAGGAGACAGCTATATTACACCACTGGAGGACTAACAAAATCACAAGTATTGCATCTAAATGCATCCTTTACTTCCACGTTCTGTTGATAGTTTGTGATAAAATACTCAACCCATTTTATATAATGATTAAAAACATAAAAAGGTACCACGCCTTATTTTTATTCCCCATAGAAATGGCACTTATCTTCGGTAATTTAGAAACCTCTTTTCAATTTTTCTAAACCGGTGCAAGTCTACATCGCGTTGCCCGAGTTCAGTGTCACTCTTGGCTGCAGAAGTCAATAGCAAAACAGTCCCACCCTTCCTCCTCCACAACGGCTGCTCATCCCTAACCCCATGTCACCCACCCCCTTTGTGCTGGCACAGTTGTTGGTGCAGCTGCGAACTGAACAGGCCTAGGGAACTGATCTGGCTGGGGAAAACAAATGTTTCAGGGGCCAAGCTCATTTTTAATTTGGATCAGTTCCCTGATCTGGTTCATTGAACGGTTGTCCAAATCCTTGTGCTGATCTCGTGCAGGGGCAGGACTGAGGTGGGAGAAAGGGCGAAACTTCAGTTTTTGATAGAGTTGTTGGCTTCAGCCAGTTTAAAGGGGTTATGAAACTGTGGTAGACTTAGAGAGCTTTTTTTTTAAACATGGAAAAATACCTCTATTTTGAGCACGATGGCAAACATGGTTTTAGAAGGACTATACTAAGCCTAGGAGCAAGGCTCGCTGGTGAATAACAGAAGATGAGGAGAAAGTATGATAGGACTGAGGAATTCAGTGAGCTGGTGTGATTAGTGCATATTAGAAAAGGCAGCTGTTGGACACTCCATTATATGGTAAAAAGCAAAAAATCTGTTGCCCTTCTGCTGTTCATGAACCAACACAGGCCAAAGAATGACAAGGGTCCCCCCCGCAATTATTAATTGA